AGCCCCCTACTGCCCCAACCCTCTCCCCCACCTCACTGCCCTCTTCTGAGTGGGTGGAAGGGCGGGTCAGAAGAGGAAGAAAAAAACAACAACAACAACAACAAAAAAAACTCTTTACTTGTACCATGTTTTCAGTCTGGGTTTCGATTAGTTCTCAAATGGTGACCAGTTAACCTTATTTTTTCCTTTTGATTTTAGGGGTGTTCAGCCTTGGTGTCCCTGTGGATGCTCTCTTCTTTATTGGGAACCAGTTGGTGGCCACGAGTCACACCGGGAAAGTCGGAGTGTGGAATGCTGTCACTCAGCACTGGCAGGTCAGTGCTCAGGAAACCACAGTGGTTGAGTTGACTCCTAGTCATAGGCACCCTGTAGGACGGAGTTGAACAGCCCCATGGGGTTTCCAAGGCTGTAAATCCTTATGAAAGCAGACTGCCACTTCTATCTCTGATGGAGCCACCCTGCATTTTAAGGACCTTTTAGTTAGCAGACAAGTACTTAATCACTGAATTCAATTCCAACTCACAGTGACCCATAGAGGGTTTCTGAAGCTGTGTGTCTTTATGGGCACAAAAAGCCTCATCTTCCTCCGGAGGAGCAGCTGGTGAGTTCACCTGTGCTCCTTTTGGGTCGCAGTCCAACATGCAGCCTGCTGCACCACCAGGGCTTCTTACTGCCCCACCCGTCATGTGGAATTCATGGCACTTTCAATTTTATGTCCTACTGAACATACTTGATAGTAATGCTTTTCTTGGTATGGGTTTTACGATGTTTTTAAGAAATGTAAGGATTTAAAAAAAAATAAGTGCATTTCTGAACCCTTGTTTGGTATTTCTCAAGTTCTGTGCTACTTGAAAGAAAAACTAGCCCAGACATACATCTATTTTGAGTGGAAGCACAGAAAATAGATAGCCTGTTCAGAGTCGATAGCAAGCTAAATGATCTCACGCGTGCTTGAGAGGAAGGAGATAAGGACTGTTAAAAAGACATTGATACCTGGTTCTGAAGGAAAGAGGAAAATGGCTAGACGTTAAGCAACGGAGTGACACAATCAGATCCATGCGTTAGAAACTGACACTAGATGGTCACTGTAAAAAAGATCAGCCAAGGAAGCTTGCGAAGGATTGATTTAGATGATCTAAAGTTTAGGGAGGGGGCGTTGCATCAGCAGCATTCTGTAACTGGTAGAGGTTCTTTGAAGAGGGATGCACTGAACGAGTCCTGGAGGCCCTGCTCTCACGAGGCTTCTTTGGCCAGTCGTGCTAAGCTTGGTCATCTTGTGTCTGGAAGGACGTTGTCCTGTTTGTGTGACAAAACTGCTAAAAGGTCTGTTTTGTTTCTAAAGGAACATGGTTTCCTTATTACTATTTTTGATTTTTACTAAAAATTTAAAAACTATATATATTTGGATTACCTGAAATCCTGAAAACTGGACTAGCCTCCTCCCAGTGGGTAATTAGTCTTAAGCTTTCATTTTCATATGAAAACCTGGTGCTTCTTGTTTGATACAGGCAAGGATGGAAAAGTATTTCTGACTAAGGAGATCCATTAGCTGCGTTTCAGGAAGACCTTGAGAAAGTTGAACTGCCATGCAGCAAAGCAAGTCTTCGACTAGCTAGATGGATTTCTCTGTAGTTCAGTGCAGCAATCAGTGCAACAATATCGCAGTGTCTGGTGTGTAAATCTCCACAGACTCCTGTGACTGCTGGGACACTAGTCGAGTAGATCCTGATTTGGCCTGGAGCAGCAGTTCAACCCAGGAATAACACAGAAAGTACAAAAGACAACCCTTATAGTGTTTAATAATCAAAATTGATAATTCACAAAGTAGTGCGTGTTTGTATGTAAGCCGAAAACCAGTTTATTTCTTAGTAGTTTGCCCTCATTAAAGACGTTATATACGATTTGAATAAGGGAAAATGAAAGATCTCTTTCTAACGTAATCCTCCAGTTTGGTGTCCCCTGTCATCGCTCAGCTCGTCACGGAGTGATGCCAAAGCAGAAGACCACTAAGAAAGCGTTCGTGCGGTCAGGTGGTAGCCACGTGACGTTCCGTGGGAGAATAGCAGCTGTTAGGCATCACTTCCCAAATGGTTCCACACACATTGGGAACTCTACTCGTGCTCGGAACTTGCATCTGGAAACAAGATCTTTTATTCCTGTGTCCAAACAGAAAGACAGTTTTGGAACTTAGTGCTAGAAACGCATGATGTATTCTGATGACTAGGGATCCGAGGCCTCCCCCCATGTTCGCTTTGGAAGATTGGCGGCCTTTACCCAGAGTTCTCATTGGTCTTACACCCCAACCTGTGAACCACTGACATGAGCAGTGGAAGCTGACGCTGGGGAGGAAATAGTGGCTGAGGAACCAGGGAGTCAGAGTGAATTTGTCGGGGCTGATAGGCTCGGCTGGACGGATTGGGAAAGCATATGTAACTCCTCCTCTTTCTTGGTGTAAGAAGCAAGGTTTTGTGCTTTTTAAATTTTGTCGGGGAGTTTGTATGTTTTGCTTGCTTTTTGGCACTTTGGACCTACCTGGAGACCTGCTTCTGAGAAAGGCCATGACCTTGAAAGCCCTGTGGAGGCTTTGCTCTACACAGATGTGGTCAGCTTGAGTCAGAATCAGTGTGACAGCCACCACCACCATTTGAGGAGAGGAAATTGGTCAGTGGGAATGTAAACCTGTCTTCTCCTGGCTCCATTCTTTGGACATCTTTGTTAATGCCAGTGACAAGTTGCCCTCATTCACCTGCTGTAAAACATGGTGGTTCTGATGGGGCAGAAGCCCGACCCGGCTCTGTGCAGAGTTATGCCTAGTCTGCTTGACTGTGTGTGATACCTGCAAGGTGCACACAGGTCCCGAATACCTGAGTGATCATTCTTTCCAAGTTTTAGTTCATTTCCTAAGATGTAGAATGGACATGTAAACTTAGAATGGACCTAGAATACGAGTAAGTATACTTGCTGTTCTGTTGGACATGCCCTTCCCCTTCCCCCCTTCCCCCACCTGACATAGTTAAATGCTTCGAGGTGGCAGAGTGGTTACGCACTGGGCTGTGACAGGCGAGCAGGTCGAAGCCCCCAGCTGCTCTGCATGAGGACTTGTTACCGTCTGGGCAGTTCTGCCATGTCCTGTACAGAGCAGAGTGGACTCTGTGGCAGTGAGTTTGGTGGCTTTTGCTTGACCTTTCCCCTTCACAGCCCACCTCGACCGAGATGAGCATCCCTCTTCCCTTTGCCTTTGTGGAGCAGGCTGGCCTCCAGAGCCTTTCCGTTGCAGTCGTCCTTCTTCCTCCCCCGTGAGCCTGTACAAGATCTCTCATGTCCTTCACCTTCAGCCCAAGAATTGTTCTCATGGACAGTGGCTGACACAGAGTAAATACTTATGTGTTAAAGTGGATAGCATTTAGGGCATAGCCTTTCAAATGCAAACCAAATAATATAAATCAAAGTTCCTTGATTTAAAAAAAATGTAGCAAAACAGCTTATCCTTTTACTTTAAGCCAAATGCATGCACTTTCTAATTTGCAGACCAGATTGAGCTACTTGGAAACTGTTCACCTCAGTGTTAGGAGGAAGGAAAATAGCACATGAGAATGCTTTGGTTTCCCTTGTCATTTCTTAGGAAACAAAGCAAAATGCTCAACAGGGAAGCTCAAAATGGAAAATACGATTTTTGCAAAAAATTGTAATAAATTAACAAGAGAGCAAGTACTGTCCTGAGAAGTATTGGTTCCTGGAAGGTTGATTGGTTCTGCCCTTAGTTTACTAAGTGAATCTTAAAAAAAACCTTAAAAAAAATTAACCTCTTGTATGAGAGAGAGAAGGGGGGCAGGGACCCTCTAGGACGAGACTTTCCAGTTCTAGCATGCTATGATCTAGAAATGAAGTGCAGCAGAACAAAGCGGGTCATCTGCATTCCAAAAGGCAAAACGACTTTAGGAAATAGATTAAAACCATCTTTTCCTCAAAACCATTGTACTGAGGATTCTGCGGAGTTCCACGTGTGCTTGTGCATGCTTGTGTGTATAAGGAAAGTTTTTCTCAACTCTACTGAAATGGGATGGGAACATTCATATTTAAAAGAAAATTTGAGGAAACTGAGTAGAATGTGCCAATGACAATTATTATCTCACGTGTACTAATCTCCCCACTTCAGGTTCAAGACGTTGTTCCCATAACTAGTTACGACACCGCCGGGTCTTTCCTCCTCCTGGGCTGTAACAACGGGTCCATCTATTACATAGGTGAGTGCACTGAGGCTTGAGATGCTTTCATTTCAAACGACATAAGAGTAAGAAGCCATCACCCTTCTAGTTTTAAATAAATAGGTGTTTATTTAATTGGCACCTTTTTTTTTTAGATATGCAGAAGTTCCCTTTACGAATGAAGGATAATGATCTTCTTGTAACTGAACTTTATCATGATCCCTCAAATGATGCTATTACTGCTCTGAGTGTTTACCTCACGCCAAAAACAAGTTAGTACATGACAAAATTATTTTAAACTCTTGAGACTTTTTTTAAAAGAACATACTTGTATTTATTGGTTTATTTTGTGATTAGAATTAGTAGGACCTCTCTGAGATATAGAAAGCTACAGACTTTAGTTATATGAATCTAAAATTTATTTTGGGTTTAATAATGAACCCAAACATGAGCAATGAACAAAACTAAATTTATGGTGGAAATTAAAATTACTCCTTCTGAATTATATTTGTCAAGTAGTTTCCTACCCTTATTAACAAATAAAAATATTCTGTATACTTAGCTTCTTATTACATAGTTGATTTCTTTTTGAAATTAACAACTGTTTTGTTTGTTTGTTGTTTTTAACATATGTAGAGTATTAACTATGTCGCAAGTATTGTATATACTGACAAAGATTACAGTGCATTCTCTCTCAATAAAGAATAGGTATAGAAAAATATGGAAATTTAGTTTTAACATGCTAACAGTTGTTATGAAGAATTAAATGCACAATATTTCTGTCTTGGAGTAAGGATAATAGCTTTATAGTACAAAATAAAGGAAAGAACTAGGTGGCAAAAGACATTTATAGAGGTACAAATATAAGCATGCACCTATGTAAATATACAAATATATTAATAGGGATATAGGTCTGTGTACATATATTTAAATGTTAAGTATTAAGGTAGCAGATGGGCATTGGGTCTCTACTCAAGTCCTCCCTCAACACAAGAACACTTTGTTCTAATAACCTGGCATTCTGTGATGCTCACCTTCCCAACACAATTACTGAAGTCAAAATGGATGCATAATCAAATGTGAAGAAAGCTGATGGCTCCTGGCTATTAAAAGATATAGCATCTGCGGTTTAAAGGCTTGAAGTTAAACAAGCGGCCATTTAGCAGAGAAGCAACAAGCCCACATTGAAGAAGCACACCAGCCTGTGTGATTATGAGGTGTGAACGGGATCAGGTATCAGACATCAGAAGACCCTGTGTTAGGGTTCTCTAGAGAGATAAAACCAAATTGCTGATAATTTAATATATTTATTTATAAAGATAATTAGATATATAACACAAGAAATGAACTGTTAAATTATATACAGATAGAAATATAATACAAGAAATGAACAGTTAGATTATAAAGCAGTACAAATGGTGAGTGCAACTCACTCCCGTGAGAGAGAGTTGTGAGACACTAGCAGTCCTTTCAGATTCGTCTGCTGCCAGGTTTTTCTCTCTATATAGAGAGAGCTAGGCTATCTCAGCACAGCAGCAAATCACAAGGCAGGTCACCAACTTTCAGCCAGGTCACCAACCACCAGTCCCCAGCTCCAGAGATGCCTTAAAGGGACCTTGATTTACAGTGTCACAGTTCACAGACTAGGTGCCCACAGGTAGTGTAGCCTGTAAATTGAGGCACAGAACAAGCAAGGCAGCCGCACACTGGTCCAATGATCAAAGAGCGAGACACAAGAAAGGCGAGGCTCACCGAGCCATTTATCTCTCTGCCCTTCAGTTAATCCCACTTGTGTTTATCGGCCAGGCTGGCACAATAAACTATCTCAATCCACCCCTTGCCAACCTGGCACCTGTACACAATTCTTTAGCCATATATACTTATATAATTTACAGACATTGATGAAATCACACTTATACTTATCATCAATCATCTATCATACATATAAGTGAAAACACAGTTCAATTGTATCTGATATATCATACCTGAACAAAGGAAAGATATGCAATAAGCACATAAAAAGAAAATACATTGACAATTGCAAACCTCGCTTTAGCAATTGATCATGTGGTTGTAATTGATAGGTAGAACTACCTTCTATCTGCTACTACCCATTCTGTATTACCTTTGCCCTCAGCAAGCACCTCAGCTGGCTGTGGGTCTGGGTCATTATAAGTCCTGTCAGGGTTGGGTTGCTGTAATTTACCATTTACTTTAATCACAGGGCATGGTAGCACTAAGAGTCAGCCTATGGGATCTCCTGGATTCCAGACATATTCTTCTTTACCTCCATTATATTGATGACATTATGCTGATTGGACCCACTAAGGAGGATGTGTCAGAGTCTAGATTCATTGGTACAATATCTGGTACAATAAACTATCTCAGACCCCAAACAAACAACTATGGCGATGTAAATAATGGGAGTCGCAGTGGAGACCCAAAGCTCATCTGTAGACAATTGGACATTCTCTCACAGAAGGGTCACAAGAAAGTAGTGAGACAGGGTGCAACATAGCACTGATGGAACACCCAACATTCCTCTAGTTCTTTAATAATGCTCCCCCCCACCTGCCCCCACTGTCATATGACCCCAGTTCCACCTTACAAATCTGGCTAGACCAGAGCATGTACACAGGTACAGATAAGAGCTCTTCACACATGGAATCCAGGACAGATAACCCCTCAGGAACAGTAATGGGAGTAGTGATACCATGAGGGTAGGGGGAAGGTTGAGGGAGAAAGGGGAGAAATGGGGCACCAACTACAGTGGTCGAGGTATAACACCCCCCTCCCCCAAGGGGGATGAACAACAGAAATGTGGGAGACGGGGGACAGTGGGCAGTGTAAGATATGAAAATAAAAATACTTCATAATTATCATGGATCCAAGAGGGTAGTAGGGTAGGTGGTGGGTGGGTGAAGAGGAGCTAATACAAAGGGCTCAAGCAGAAGAAAATGTTTTGAAAATGATGGCAACATAGAAGCTTTAAGATTGCTGTGCTGAGCTGGGGTCTGGGCGGAGGTGGCAGACTTTACAAGGACAGCACTTAGACAAGCACTGCTTGTCTCGTCTAATGGACTGATTTTCAACTCTTGCCTGGTGTAGGCGTCAGCGGAAACTGGATCGAGATTGCCTACGGCACGAGCTCGGGCGCAGTGCGAGTGATCGTCCAGCACCCTGAGACCGTTGGGTCAGGCCCCCAGCTTTTCCAGACTTTCACCGTTCACCGAAGTCCCGTTACAAAAATCATGTTGTCAGAGAAGCATCTCGTGTCAGGTAACACGGCTCTCGGTACTGGTGCGAGTTTCCACCTCCTGTCAAATCCTACCGGGCTTGCTCCCTACAAATTCAGAGGCCGTCAAAGCATGGTTTATGTGAGGAAAACATACCAGAAGAGTGGTATGAAAGTTTAACTAGATAAATATTGGCATTGTATGTCAGCGACGGCTTTGGCTTTGTTCTGGTTTGGGTGGTGGTGGTGGTGTGTGCTGTCGCGTTGGTTCCAGCCCATAGCAACCCTGTTTACAACAGAAGGAAACATAGGACCCGGTCCAGCCCCATCCTCCCAATTATGCTTACGTTGGAGTCCTTTGTGGCAGCCCCTGTCAGGCTGTCTTGGGGAATGTTTTCCTCTCTTCCACTTCCCTTCTGTTTGACCAAGCGTGGTGTGTTTGCCAGGGTCTGGTCTCGCCGAAAACACGTCCAAAGTAGCCGCGATGAAGTCTTGCCGCCCTTGCCTCTGAGGGCATTCCGGCTGTCTTTCTTCCCAGTAGATGTGTTTCTTCTTTTGCACGTCCACAGTACTTTCAGTGTTCTTTGCCAACGCCTTCATTCAAATGCATCCGTTTTCCTTTGGTCTTCCTTCTTTAAGTGTGGGAAGTGCCTTTTTTTTGGTTGCTGTTTTTTCTCCTAAATGCATATTTTATTTTAAAATGCTGTTGAGAAGGATTTTTACTGCAGAAAATTTCCAAGCATAAATTTAATATGCGTAAGTTGGGTTATTATGATGTACGCCTTAAGATTACAATGACAACTTTAAATGTGCTTTTTGGCGTTTCATCATTTTAAATATAAAGAGTATTTGCAGAAGATAAGTTTATTTTGTGTGTGCTTATGTTTGTAGTTCCTTTACTACAGCCACACCCCAAACAAACCAACCTCTTGCTGTCAAGTTGATCTGTAGGCAGAACAAATCGGCCCAGTCCCCACGGGGTTTCCTAACACGGTAATTTGAGGACAATAGACAGCTCCATTTTCCTCCCCAAGAGTGGCTGGTGATTTGGATCCACTGCCTTTTCAGCTGGGAGCTGAATGGTTAAGTCACTCTGTTACCAAGGCTCATCCTCATACAAAGTTTTTAAAGATGTAGGAATAAATTCTCAAACAAAGCGAGCACTACTGGTCACAAAGTAGATTTCCATTGATGCATCTTATCATTCCATTCATTGAATGATAGATGACTTCTGAAAAGCTTTGTGAAAATGAATTGGGTCTCGGGTACGCCAGTCTAGCCGGGTGCTTAGAGGGGCCTGAATGGTCATTCTTCTGTGAGCAGTTCTTGGCAAACTCGTAAGTTTTCCTTTGTTGTTTTGCTTATATGAAGATGACCTGTGTGAAAACCTGGTGCTTCTTGTTCTTCTAGCTGCAGCAAAAATACGTTGAATGAATGAATGAATACGCTTATATCGAGTGATTGTTTTGGATGTCATTAAAATGAAATTGTGTATTATAACACTATCCTCAGGTATAATTGTTTTAGCGCTTTATATGTGACATAAAAGTATTAAAGTGCTTAAGGGTTCTTGTTTATAGTAACTTAATGCATCAGGGTCAGTGACTCACTAAACTTTCTATTTAATCAGATTAAAATGGAGCTACAATGATTTTTATGCAAATACTATGGGCATTATACTTTCTTTTGCAAACCGCACAACCCCTATAAATGTCAGGTTTCTATAGGTACTTTGCGTGTTACACATATGGGCTATTCAATGTGAAAATATGTCATACTGCTGCTGGGTGGAATGGAGACGAATAAGGGCTTCAGGGCAGTTTTGCCCAGTTACACCCTCCAGTGGGGCTTCATTTTTCTCTTCTGGCTGGGGCAGAAGGAAAATGAGGAGGTACTGCTTACTGAGTGTGCGCAGGGCTTGCTTGTGGTTTCGACAGTGGGCAAGGTCATGGCTTCACAGCATTGTGATACCTCTCAGCACGATTAAATTGTGCACGTAAAAATGATCAAAGGGGAAAACTTTATGTTGTATATATAGATTGACACATTCCCGGCTGTACTCTTAACATATATTACAAATCTGATCATGTCACCATTGCTGCCCGCTAGTAGCACACAAATAGCATTTCTCTGCCAGATTACTTCAGGAGCTTCTCAACCCTTCCTCATTCTGTCCTGCGTCTCCAGAGTCCATGCTCCAAACAGCAGCCCCAAATATTACGCATAAAGGGAAACACCGTACCATGGCCTGCACTGCTCCCTTCCTGTTCTGGACTCTGCTTTGCAGAGCCTCCCTCTTTGTCCCACGTTTCTTCTGGCTCATGCCGATGCCCTGTCGTGCTTTGGAATTCTTTCTTCATGCCTTCCTTCGGACCTTTACCCTTGTTTTCCTCGCACTGTTTGAATATTGCTCCCCTAGATCATTGTTTGACAGATTTCTAGTGATTTTGGCTTCATTTCACATTACCTCTTCAAGTGAGACTTCCTTGGCCCAGTGGTCACTTTCTCTTAACAATGTCTTGATCTGTTTTCTTTATCAACATATCACTTGATCACGTGTTCGCTCTCTTCTCACCTGCGTCCCTCCTGCAGAATATGTTTGGCCATGACCCTATTCTCAGCACTTAGCCCCCGGAGTTCTGGCGCACCGGAGATGCTGAATACATATTTGTTGTGTGCATAGAAGTAATCTGTCCCTCCGAGCAGACAGACTAGATTGCAGTTGATGTGATGTTTACATGACCATGCTCAGAGACACTCAGTAATCATTGCTGTTATTTTCATGGTGGTAGAGTTGTCAAAGGATGTAATACCAAAGAACTGTTTATTAAAATTTGCATCTTAATGTTAGATTTTTTTCATATATCAGTTTGAAATTTAAGTGACTTTGTCAAGAATTAATTCTGAAGTCATTGTGTACTCTATGTTATTCTGCCACCTGGTGGATATTAGCATTTATTTAATGGTCTTCTTTTTCATATACTGTTCTTGATGCCATAAATATAAACTTTAATTGATAGTATTCACAAAATTGCCATGATATCCCAGTGGAATCAGCCAAAAATATTTAAATACTTTTTTCTGAATACCTAGTAGGAAATTATTACCCTTGAAGTTGATTAAACAACCTTGAACTAAATATCTTTTCACCAGCACACTGGCAGTCTGAGAAACAGAGAATTTTAATGTATAAAAATAAAAACTGAAAGTGTTATTTATTGCTGTTTGCACAAAGTATATCTTGTTCCTTCTAAACAAAGCCTGTTTAAAACATCCAGCTGTGACTTTTACCAAAAAGAACTCTGTGTGTATGTAAGAATTTTTTGTTAATTATCTAATTTTTATTGAACACATAGCATATTAGTGAAAAAAGAAATGGATTGAACTCACGATAAGTGGCAAACTTGTACATGTTTTAAATGAGGCTAGTTAAAAAATGTGATTCTTTTATTAGAGATGCCAATATTTTCTAGAATAGAATTCAGACCAAAAATGCAAGTTAGCTTATTAGGGGACATCTCATATATATTCATTTAATATTTTCATTAAAAATAATGTTATTGGAAACTTATTCATTAAATACAAAGTCTTGTGTGATATAAAAATAATTATCTTTAGTACATGACCTTAATTATCCTAATGTAACTGAAGATGGGTGCTAGCTGGTTTCTATGAGTGTTTTTGACAAATGTCATTTGTGCTAGGTGATTTACTTAGGTGATTTGCATTTTTTGCATAACATAAACAGAAACGTTCTGTAATAGGAAAAGATAACCCAAGCAACTTGTTTATTCCACAGAAGTTTAACTGCATAACAGGATACTACTGCTCAGCATCTTCTCTCATATACACACCCACCCACCCACCCACGGACCCCCTTTCCTATATGTAGATACTCCAGATTTTTAAGGAACTATAGATGTATGCATACCTTAAATTTCCAGCAAAATAACCATATTCCGTCCTCACTTCCACTGCCTAAGTATCATGCTAACTAGAAATGTAAGGTAAGTATAACATTTACCATTCACTACGTGTATCGTTTGATCTATTTAATGCATAATTTGGTAAAAAAAAAAAAACGAAGTTAAAATTTGTTTACAAAAGTGAATTTGGTGATGCTCTTGCCATCTATAGGTAACTACTTTTTGCATGTGTTTTCCTTCCCAGTTTGTGCAGATAATAATCATGTTCGTACTTGGACAGTAACACGCTTCAGAGGGATGATCTCTACTCAGCCGGGTTCCACTCCGCTAGCATCCTTCAAGATACTCTCTCTGGAGGAGACAGAAAGTCATGGTAGCTATTCGTCTGGAAATGACATAGGTAGGTTAGATTGCTTGGGGACATTTTTAATTTTAATTCTGAAACTCATTTAAAACAAATTTAAGAACTTCAGATGAAGTTCTCCGGATTTGTGATTATATCATTGTTATTTATTGTTTCACAAGCAATGAGGGGAAAAAAAGATTTGCTTTAATTTTCATTTTCGGAGGCGCTCTGGCCACAGTGATATGTACTCAGCTGCTAACAGAAAGGTGTTGGCAATTTGAATTCCCCGAACAGCTCCAAAGGAAAAAGACCTGGTGATCTGCACCCCGAGATTAGCACCTAAACAGTAATCAAGGAGACAGGTCTACTTGTTATGTGGGCTAGCTAGGAGTTGGCATCAACGCGCTGGCACCAGCAAAAATAATTACATAACATATTCTAATTTGAGTAATGTCTAAATGCTAGCCATATTTTTTTATAATTAAAAGCCATGATATTGTGCACATTTGAGACCTGGAATATTTTCCCTGTATTGCTAATAGTTATTCTACTGAAAGCTACAGTTGAAGCTGGAGAATAACTGGTCCTTTTACATATAGAGACTAATTATGACAGCATTGGCTATATGTTTAATCAGGAAACACCATAATATGTCTCTCAGGTCCTTTCATTTCAGCAGAAGTTAGTAGATAGAATTGGATTTGTCCAAATAATAATTTATAAATTATCCAGAGTTTGGGAGGGAGGGGTGACGCGGAGGGAGGGCTATATATGGTAAGAAAGGATTCACCAGTCTTAATCCATGTGGGGACCCTACAGGTGGATTTTGGTCTTTCATTGAGGATCTGATACCAAGGGCTCAAGTAGAAAGAAAATGTTTTGAGAATGATGATTGCAACAAATGTGCTTGACACAATGGAAGTATGTATGGATTATGATAAGAGCTGTATGAGCCCCAGTAAAGTGATTTTAAAAGGGAGGGGAAAAAAGAATTAGATTTGTCCTTCCCCAGCTTTCACACGTGCACTGTGTTTGCACGCACACTTTTCATGGATACAGACTCTTTTTTCCAAGAACTCATCTGAAAGAATATATATGTGCAGTTGTGCCTTATTGATTCTATAGGACTTATCAATTGGTCTACCTATAATAGTTTTACTGGCATCTAATTCGTATATCATAAAATTCAGCAATTCATTCATATTGGTAAGAGTTGTTGTGCCATCATCACCACAATCAAGTTTAGAGCATTTCCTTCTTCCTTGTACTCGTTGGCTTCCCATTTAACCCCAGTCTCCCCACCATGCCTCTAGGAAATTTTGAATCCAGTTACTGTCTGTATAGAGCTACCTAACCTTGACTTCATGTACAAAAAATCATGCAAAACAAAAACAGAAACCAAACCCAACAACAATGAGAAAAACAAACAGTAAAACCTCAATGCAAAAGAAAGCAGAAAATATTAAAAACTGCATCAAATTTAAAATGGGTCAAAAGATCAAATGATAAAGTATTGCATATTACATCTGCCTTAATTGACTTTATGTTGCTCTCTGATAGCAAGGCTATACACATTCCTGGGCTATATATGGTAAGAAGGGATTCACCAGTCTTAATCCATGTGGGGACCCTACAGGTGGATTTTGGTCTTTCATTGTCATCAGTAGACTTCAGGAAACTTTGTGTTCAGACTTTAAGCTTTAATTCCATTTCTTATGGATTGGGATTTCATTATGTGATCTTTAGATCACACAAGCCAGTGTGCTTCTTCCATGTGAACTTAGTTCATGCCTCACTCAGATGGTGGCTTGTTTGAAGACAAGCTTTTTGGACACAGGTGCTATTCTCTTTGATAGCAGGACACCATCTGATTTCTGATTATTTTTTGTAAGCAAAAATTACAGCCTTGATGGACAATGGGAAGAAAACAGAATTGGTTTACATGAAACTACTGAATTTATATCCTGTCAGAATTGGCTCTAATATTAAATATTTCAAAGTAGTTATCTTTAGATCATATAAGCTATGAATGAGAACTTTTCTGCCAGTCATAGTATTTTTGGGAAGAACTATTCAATGTCATCCCAGATGCTTAGAACTGGAAGTATTTTTATTTATTCAACAAGTGTTTATTGAATACTCTTGTGACAGAAATTATATAAAAAAGAAACAGTTAACATCAACTCGAGTATAATGAAAAGTGTGAATGAAAAGCAAGCGTTGCATTTTGCACACAACAAATAGGTATCGCAGGGCAAAAGGCACCCAGGGAGATAGTGCCAGGTTTTCTGCTGGGTAACATCTCTCTCATTTAACCTTGACATCTGTGAGATTAGATCTTGTCCCCCAAGACAAGATTAGATCTTGTCTATATAAGTCCTATAGAATCATTATAAGATCAATAAGGCACAACTGGACATATATATTCGTTCAGATGAGTTCTTGGAAAAAAGAGTCTGTATCCATGAAAAGTGTGCGTGCAAACAATCTAAGGAAACAGATTCAGACAGAGAGGCATTCATAGAGATGGTAGTGTTTGAAGTGAGCCAAGACCCGTGAGTAGGAATTTGGGATGGCGGTGTGGTTTATTTGGGACATTTCTGAAAGAAAACATCAGCATGTCAAAAGGAGAGTGCCCAAAACAACGCAGCAAACTTGAAAAATGTCAAAAGAAGACTATTCACTGAATTACAGGGTGTTACGGTGAAGACTAATAGGGCGTGATCCAGGGTAGGTGGGCAGGGGCCGGGGAGTGCAAGGCTTCTGTCGATCGAGCTGAAGTGTTTAGGGGAAGCTGTTGAGACTGCTATGGATTGTGTTTTACATCCGTCTTTCCTTCATGAGGAATGCGAGAAGACTCGGGAGCAGTGAAGCAAGGGGACCAGGAAGGAGTGTCACTAACTGAAATACAGAAACATAGGAAGTGGGACTTAATGGAAAAAGAAAAGGCATTCAGATTTGCATCTTTGATGTTTAACTTTTGCATAATAACACTTTGTTTTCATTGCTCGGGATCTTGTGGAGCTCTAATAGGCCACTCGCTTCTTTTAACAAATATGAGCTAGTTAAAACAATTCAATCTCTTCAGGCAGAAAACCTTGCCTGGTGTACCTCACTGACCTTTCATAGTGTTGATGTTTCTATTTTGATTTAGCAATTACTATTTATCAAGTACCAATTACTATTTTTTATTTCCTCTTGATTGGCATCTAAAAGAAGAAAGATGAAGTCTGATGAGTTGTAACAGTAGTTAGGCGCTATTGAGTTTGTCTCCGCCCACAGCATCCTCATGCACACGGCCCTGTCTGTCCTGCCCCATCCGTCCTCCTGGTTGTTGGGCTGGAGCCCATTGTTACAGCGCTGTCCGTCCGCCTCATTGCGGGGCTGCCTCTGCTTTGCTGACCTTTACCAAGGATGATGTTGTTTTCCAGAGGCTGGCCTCATAATACAAAACCTTGATTAATAGCCGCCTCTGAAAAGTAAGTTTCATTTAGGGAAAATATTTCTTACAAAGAGCCTTTTAAAAAGGCAAATCACTTATAAGATAATTTACTTTACAAATCCTTTTTGAAGTTGTAAGGAACTTAAAGTATTCCCAAAGATAACTAATATCAGACTTAGGTTTTAAATATACTCATTTGTACTGTTAATGTATAGCCTTAAACATAATGTATTGCCTCTGTGTTTACAATGTTTAGTGCTTAAAATATGACGTTGAAGTTACAGTCATTTCCCTCACAATGTGGCTTATTATTGGTCTACTGTGAGGATTATTGTTTCCTTTTACACTAAAGCCTAATCCAGACTGAGGCCTATAGTTATCTCTACTTTTCAGCCAAGATGCATCTGACATCAGTAATGATATCCCTTGTTCTACTTCTTCAGAATGTAGCTTGAATTTGGGGCAGTTCCCTGTCGATGATGCACTGCTGCAAACATTGTTGAGTTAGCTTCGGCGAAATTTTGCTTGGGTGGCATATTAATAACATTCTTCAATAATTTTGATAGGTATTAATTTTTTACATCAAGATTCTATGTGCACATGAAACAAATTAATTTGTTGCCTTTTTATTATTATTCTGATCAAGGGCCTTTCGGAGAGCGAGATGATCAACAGGTGTTTATCCAGAAAGTTGTGCCCATCACTAACAAACTGTTTGTAAGACTCTCATCTACAGGGAAAAGGTAACACTTTACCTTTAAAGATCTAGATGTTTATGAGTTGCTACTGTTTAGCAAGCCACGTTGTCTAGGTTAAAAGTGTGGTACCAGCAACAAAGGATTCTTTGTAACTTTAAATGACACAACCGGCTTAGTGGTCACGATGGCTGATCACTTCAGACTTACTGTTGCTCTGTATAGTTTGGGAGCACTTGACTGTTGGCTAAAGATCATGGTGCAGACCTTCCAGATGCTCGACGTCACTAACTTCTGTTAATCTGTCATATAAGGGACAGTGCAAGGCATTTATGGGGTTTAACATTTTTATCTGTGACACTGCTTCAAGGCTGTTAGGCCTCATTTTATGAATGAAGAAACTGGGCCCAGGGAAACAAAGTAATACAAGTTGAATTTTCATAGCTAGCAAGGGCTAGAATTAATTTAACTGCATGTGACAAAATTCAGTGTGTTCTTGTTATGTCACTGCTGCTGTGTGCCGTGGGGTTGCGCGGACTCCCAGGAAACGTTCAGGGTTTCCTCGGCTGTCAACTGCATGGGAGCAGGCCGCACAGGGCACTGGCCTGCGAACTGCAAGAGCAGGGATTTGAACCTCAGCTGCTCTGCGAGAGGCGGACCTGCTGCAGTGCTACCACGGAGATTCTTGCTTTGGAAACCAGGATTGGAATCAACTTGATGGCAACACGCTTTGTTGTTTCATTTTGTAATCTGGAAGCAGATTACCATGTCTTTTCTACAGTTTCTTCATTCATAAAATGAGGCCTAACTGCCTTGAAGCAGTGTCATAGGATAAAAATTTTAAACACCATAAATGTCTTGCATAGTCCCTTAGTATGATAGATGTTCTTTTCTCTTTCGATTTTTTTGACTGAAATTTTACTCTTTAAAAAATTATTATCGCTCAAACCAGTTGTGCTTTAACATTTCTCTTTAATGAATAGGAGTAAAATTCATGGTAATAGTTAATGTTGATTTTTATATGATTCCTCAGTTGCCTTGGTTTCAGCTTAATCTTTTAATGATAGCACTCTTTGAGCAATGATAAATTTTTTTTTCATGACACTTCAATACATGTAGTCTCAATGAATTTATAGCAAAAATTTATCTTTAGGTACCTAGACTATCTTTTTGACAGATTAAAAAAATTTTTTTAAAGAAAATGTGTGAAGCACCCGTAGTACACTTGGAAGCCAAAATATTATCTCAAAAGAAATATTGAAAATCGCTGATTTTGAGTTTTATGCATGTTCAGTAGGATTGTTTATTAAAACTAGTGCCACAGTGTAAGAGCCAACAATTATTACCTTCTCAGTTACAATTTTCTCTCCCCTCTTCTGTTACTTCAGCTAATAAAAATGTGTTGTAATGAACTGTAATTTCTGCCTGGTAAAATAAAAAATATTCATCATTCATCTATTTATTGAGGAGCTGATATTTTAGTGGTTGTTTTGAGGGTCACACTGGCTGTGTTTCTGATGTTTGGGGTTGGAAGAAGCGAGCGTGGGCAGTTTGTCCACTCTGCTGTCATCAGCCGAGGAAGTTATGATTCCTGAGGAAAAGCCTATATAGTTATAAAAATGACAAGCATAAATTACATAGACTTAAATATAATATCTGCACTCTCATTCACTCACTCACTTTCATTCACTCTCTCAAAAAAAAGAAAAAAAATTAAATATAATATCTGTCTTTGATGAAGCGAGTGCGGGAAAAAAACCACCTTGTATTTAAAGGGCAGTTCTTAATAGTGAAACGTGAAGAATTTTATTGAAAGTGCACAAGAGAAAAATTTGTGAAGAAAATTTTTGTAAAGGAATAATTCTAAGGAATCTATCCTTTAAGGGGGGGAGAGAAAGAGTTAAGCGACGTGCTTATTTATGAATGTATGTTTGAATGTGTTGATTGGTGTTAGCTTAACCATAAATAGACATCTATAGATTTAGTTAAACATTTAAGGTGCAGATGTTATTCAGTAAGCAATGCAATTAACTATTAATGATAATGAGGATATTTTGATCAATATGACTAACTCAGTTAAATCATTTGACATATGGTAACACACATTTAAGATTAATATATTTAATATATTAATACATAAAAACTTAAGAGAAAGTTTGAATTTCATCATCTGCAAAAATAATTGTAGCAAATGAAAAAAAATTGGTGAAATGTTGAAATGTTCCCTTCGAGATCAGAGATGAGAATAGAACAGTGGATGTGTAGTTACTTTCTTCTTCCTTTCTTTGTACTGAGCCATATTCTACTTTGTTTCGTACATTTTTGTGAATTGCATTTCCTCCTCTTCCTCTATTTCTTTGACCATTCATTTGCTTGATATTGATTATTCTTAATTCTAATATATTGTGTTTTTGGTAACCTCCTCAACTCCCTGGTGGTGAAGTAGGTTGTGATAAATAGATTCAATCAAGTATAGTAACATCAACTTATATCACTTTGGGAAAATGATTTGCTAATTATTCTATGATTTCTTCATTTGTCCGATATGGATAGTAATTGTCCCTTTTTAGTTTTGTTCTATTTTGTTTTGATTTTGTATTAAAGTTATATGACATAGGTGGAGGATACTGTATAAGCTATCTCCATCCAGTGGTATATTTTTTCCTAATTTCACATATTTAGAATCTACACGTAAGTTTTAAAATGATTTCTCAGGATCTCTTCTTGCTTGGTTTCCATTTTATTTTCAAATTTCCTTTTAAAGAATTGCTGATTCCCATCAAGGGGCTTTCTGGTTTTCTTTCAAGTTTGACTTAAATTAGTTGGCCTCACTTTAGTTATTTAGTAATAACATTGTTTTGTAAAGGCTCCTTTTCTAAACTCAAAGAAACAAGTGTTATTCCCTATTTACTTGCTTTAATCTCTTTAAATAACAGCTCAAGATGTGTAGACTATTCAACTGCAATACATTTGCAGATACATTAGTAAACTGTCTGAAATCCAAAGTCTTATTTATTCTCCATGGATGACCACTGCACTGTATGTTTTTCAGAATATGTGAGATCCAGGCTGTGGACTGCACTACGATATCCTCTTTCACCGTGAGAGAGTGTGAGGGGTCCAGTAGGATGGGCTCCAGGCCCAGGCGCTATCTGTTCACAGGCCATACAAACGGCAGCATTCAAATGTGGGATCTGACCACTGCGATGGACATGGTTAACAAGAGTGAAGATAAAGGTAGTTCACCACTTTCAGATGTGTGCCATAAAGATTCCCTTTCCACGTGAATGAATTAATGAGGACTTGTTTTCCTAAGATGTAGGTGGTCCCACAGAGGAAGAACTACTCAAATTATTAGATCAGTGTGATCTGAGTACCTCTCGCTGTGCCACTCCCAACATCAGCCCAGCAACTTCCGTGGTTCAGCATAGCCGTCTGCGGGAATCCAATTCCAGGTAGGTTAAAGAGGGGTGGAGTACTTTTATAATTGGCTGCTTCTGGAGAAATGGGCAGAAATACTGTAAATGCACGGCTTCCCTGGAAGGCATCATTTTAATTTGAACTTTTATTTTGTTACTCAATTTCAAAATTTTGCTAGATTTCTCATCTACATGCATATATCCGGTTCTTTTTATAGAAAAGCATTTTCATCTTTTAACTTACTTGCAAACTGCTGCCAACTTGAGTGCCTCCTCCTATACCACTAAGGGTTCACGCAGTGAGTTAGGAAAACACATGTCACCTTGGGTAGTACGTGGAGCTCTTTGTTCAGTTGCTTGAGGGACCAATTAATCAGAATGACTGTTTTATCTTGTCTGATATTACCTAATGGAGCACATAATATTCAGGCATTATCTGCTTTTAAAAAATGACACAGCATGTCTTTTTTAGTAACTACATTGACAGACACGTCCAAATAGGAATCATGCTGGTACCATGTTGGTTTCAGAGATTCTTCTCAACTTTTCCTCTATTCAAAAATCCAGCTTGCCTTTGCTGCTGTCTGTGGGATTTCTGCATTGATAGTTTGATATGTGAAATGTTTTAGATGCAGAAATGAGTGCGCTCTACTGTATACAGTATACTCAGGGAGACATAGTGGGGTGGTGGTTCTGCACTGGGCTGCTAACTTCAAGGTCAGCCACTCTTCTGGAGAGGGACAAGACTGTGCGCTCCCATAAAGAGTCAGAGTCTTGGAAACCCCCAGCACAGTTCTGCCCGTCCTATAGGGCCACCTTGAGCTGGAATTGACTCAGTGGCTGTGAGTTTGGTTTGGAGTTTTTTAATGCTCCTGGATAAGATATGTCCCTGTAAGATCCCAGAAAGAAAACTGAACTCTAATTTTTAAAAAATCTGTTTCAGCCTTCAGCTTCAGCACCACGAAACCATTCATGAAGCAACTACGTATGGTTCTGTGAGACCTTACCGGGAGAGCCCTTTGCTAGCAAGGGCACGGAGGACTGAGAGCTTTCACAGTTACAGGGACTTCCAGACTATTAGTTTGAACAAGAATGTAGAAAGAGCTGTCCCTGAGAATGGTAACTTGGGTCCCGTACAAGCCGAAATGAAGCGGGCAACAGGGGAATGTAGTGTATCTGAAAGAGAGTCTCCTGGAACAGAAATAAAGCATTTGAGAGAAGCAGACAGTGGTTTGGAAGCTCAGAAAATAGCTGAAGGTTTTTTAGAATCCAAGAAAAGGTCATCAGAAGATGAAAATGAAAATAAGGCAGATTTACGGAAGAAAGGATTTGAAGGGGGAGGATTCCTGGGAAGAAAGAAAGTTCCCTACCTGGCATCCTCACCAAGTACTTCTGATGGAGGTGCTGACTCACCTGGTACTGCATCCCCGTCTCCTACGAAGACCACTCCATCTCCTCGGCAGAAAAAAAGTGATTCTTTGGGTCAAGAGTACAGCTTGTGAGAACTCACCAAAATGAATAGTTGTTATGCTAAACTTAGAAGAAAGTTGAACTTTACTAGCTTTCAGATAAATCAGTGTTAACATCAAATTTGCCAGGTTAAAAGGTCTTTCAGGACCTTTTTAACAGAATTACCAGGAGTGAAAGCTAAAATAAGTTCTTCATGTTGTTGGAATTTTACTCGGTTTTACCATACATTTTAGAATCATGTGTAAAGCAGGAGTCAGTCTCAACCTATAGCTGCTGTTTGTTGGTTGTAGAAACACAGTACCACATTGCAAGATGTGCCCATAGGTATCCATGAGCGTCCTCCCAGAGGGTGGGACTCACCGCACTAGGTTCCTAATCTGGATTATGCCTGGGACCTGCCTCACATTCCTTAGTGAATCACATCATTCTCCCCAAAACCTTCCTGTGTTTGCAAAATGTTTACCAGATGTTTGAATGAGGTGCTATGTGTGTGAGGGGTAGCGGGGGTGGGGGTGAGTCATGTACGTAATTCAGAAACACTATTGATGTTGAATACAGAGTCCACTGTGTAGGAAGTCCTGTAAGGTGTAGGTTTTGGGGGGCATCATTTTCTGATTTTCATGTTGGAGCTCTTAAATTGTAGCATTACCCATATTAAGTTCCAAGAATCCATTCTAACTTTTTTCCAAGTTGAAACAGTTGTCTGTGTTTGAACTGATGAAATAAAAGTAATCAAGGGCAAAGCTTTTAGTGCCCAGACAGGAAAGCTGAGGTACCAGTTTTTGGTGTGCTTGACTTTTTTTTTCTCATTTATGTCAATAACAAATAATGAAACCTAAAATGTGGCCATTTTATTAATCTTTGTGACTGAAGTTCTCACTTTTTGGTTAATGAATTTGACTGTTGTGAAAATGTTATCTTGGGTATATTTTGAATTATAAGGGCAAAATAATAATTTTTGTACTTCCCCCACCCCCATTTAAATTAGAATGATCGTCAAGTTTCTGCAAATAGAGTAATTGTATATTTAAAGCATTAAACATTTGTTGGTGATAATGTGTATATTTCCACTCCATGAAATTTAAAAAGTGAGTGGAGTCAAAATAAATTCTTTAAAGTCTATATTGCCTGCAGGTGGTTTCACAATAATCCTCTTGTATTTATTTATCAATGAAGTCTAATAAAAATAAGAAAATGAGTTTTTGTGACTTGAAGGGCAAATGCCCTGTGTAACTGTTCTGTTCATTCCCTTGCTTCCTATTTCCATAATAAAAAGGAGGGTGGACACGGAGGGAGAGCTTTTATATCTGGGAAAAGTGAGTTGGGATAAGGGTAGGCAAGACAATTAAAAATTACTAACCATGGAGAGCAGCTGAAGGTAGTGGACCAGGGGACCCGTTTCCTTTGAGAACTCTCTCGAACAAGGCAGGTTTGGTGTCCAGGTAGCCGAGTGGTAGGAGTCTGGTGAGTGAAATATCCCCCCAGGCTAGCACCCTACCCCCACCCCACAGATTTGTCCTGAGCCAGGGCCTCAGAGATCCATCCAGGCACCGATTTGTGGGACATCATGGGTCATTAAGCCCCCACCATCGTGACCTAGACTAGCTCTAGCACCACTCCATCCCCAGACCGGGACCCCGCGCCCAGTTTCGCTTGCCTGCTCTGCCGAGACAGGTGGTGGCTGGACCCCTGTCACCAGCTGCCCACTCGTGTGACCCCACTAGGAGAGTAGCTTCTCCTTCTTGTGGGTCCCCTCTCCCCGCATGGCAGCGATCTGCCCTGGGCCTGTGTCCCTCCCTCCAAGCCCTGGGTGGCTGACCTGCAATATACCAGGAGCTGCCTGGGCGACCCTCACGCGGGACCATCCACCCCCACTGCTGCCTGGGACCTCTCCACCGGCGCGCCGTTTGCCGGCCGCCCGCCCCCGTCAGCCTAGCTCCCATTCCATTCCTGGCCCGGGGAAGTGGAGCCGCGTACTTCCCGCCGTTGCCAAACTGGGAGCACTGAACCCACCTGCCGCAGAACAGTGGGCACTCCTGCCCACTGAGAGCGCGAGCGACGGGGCTCTGCACTCTTGCCAAAGTGATCTTGTCCTCCCAGGTGCGCTGAGGGGTTTTACACCCTCAGCGGCTCCGAGCTCTGGGTCTGCCGCGCAGCACGCTCCCCACGGGGCGGAACACAGTTGCCATTGCCAGCTGCTTCCTGCCAGAGCCGCTGCTTTCTGATCCGACTCAGACCGCGTCACTAAGTAGCCTGCGCCGCTCACATGGCTGACAGCTCAAGCGATAAACCCGCCTGCTAGGGAGACCGGGAAGCGGCTTTGCAGTCCCCACCGAAGCTGTCTGTGCTCTGCCGGCTCATCACTGCGGTGCCCCGCAGGATCCCCAGATCCAGCTTCCAAGCCTGCCCCAGCCCTCTCCAGCCAGCAGAGGAGGCAGGTGCTGTGGCCTGTGCCTCTCAGCAGCCCTTGAAGGCCCAGTCTTTTCTGGACTGCAGGAGGATCGCCCTGTGAGGCTTCTGCCGCCTGCGTAGCCTCTGCCCACGGGCTCCACTCTACAGACCTGCAGGGACCTGGGAGGGCTTGCTGATCTGAAGAGCATTTTACCCTCACATAGCCGTGCTCCGGAGCCCAGATCAGCACCACATCCCGTGACAGCGAGGCCTCGCCCACCTCTGCCTTCTATTAGGCATCACTAGAACTTGGAGGGAAAAGAATGGGGGTGGGGGGTGGAAATCTAAATATCTATCTATATATATCTTTTATCTCTTGCTGGTTTCCTCTTTTTGCTCTTTTCCTTTCTGTGCTTTCTTCTCTCCCTTATTTTTAGCTCCTTTTCCATTATTGCTATTACTACTCTTCGGCCCCTTTTCTATAGGTTTTCCTTCTATCTCTTTTTTTATTTCCCACTTTCACTGTTATCACTTCTTTTCTCTCCTCTTTTACAGCTTATCCTTCCTTCTCTCTATTCTTTTTATTTCCCGCCCCCAAATTTTTAAAATTATTTTTTAAATTTTCACTTTTTCTTTTATTACTAAACAACAACAACGAAAGGGCTGCTAAGGGTACCCTGACAGACCAGGTCAAAGCAGCCTGGAGGCACTCACAGAGGCTCCAGCCCCCACTACAGTCGCTGAAACATCTCACCACTGCTAGTCACTAAGCCTTCGGGGAACTTTGCCTACACAGCAGGCTGACCCATCCTTAGAGTAGGTCATAGGCAACCGTCTGAAAGAATCCTTAACAGTAACACAGATAAGGGCCCCCTGGCCTCCCAGAAACATGGGGCCTGTGAAAGGATCGAGGAAAAATCAACAGACCACATCACTCCCAGCAAAAAAACCAGAGAGACAAAATATAGTAGCAGAGTTAATGTCTCTCATAGAAGAAACAGATACAGATCTGCCACAGAAGGTAATCTTCAGAAGTCTGCTCGCAGTAATACAGGAGCTGAGGGAAGCAACCCAGAACAAGGCTGCAATAATAGAGATGAAGTCCACCCATCAAAGGGAACTGCAGGAGCTAACATAGGAGGTAGCAGAAGCCACACACAAGGTCACAGAATTTACGATTAGGCTTGATGAGGCAGAGAACTGTATCAGTGATCTTGAGGACACTCAAACAGACCTAAGCAAGCGAGAAAGATAGATAGGAAAATTAAAGAAACAGAAGATAGCCTGAGATCAATGACAGATGCTATGAAGAGGAATAATATTCGAATTATATTTCTACCGAAACTCAACACAACACACAAGTCGACAGCCAAGATAGCAAAGGAATTTCTGGAAGAAAACTTTCCCACCCTAACAAGGGAGAACCAGGTGCTCATACAGGAGCAGAAAGGACGCCAGCTAGACTAGACCCCAAGAAGAACACGCCAAGACATAAAATAGTAAAAATATCCAACTTCGAGGAAAAAGAACATTTTATGAGCAGCAAGAGAAAGGAAGACTGTCACATACAAAGGAGCGCAGGTAAGAATATGCTCAGACCTATCAGCAGGTACCATGAAGAGGAGGAGAGAATTAAGCACCATCTTCCAAAAGTTGAAGGGAAAAAATGCCTCCCCCAGAATCCTGTACCCTGGCAAGTTATGCATTAGGATCGATGGTGAGATAAGGGTCTTCCAGGACAAGGAAAGACTCAAAGAATATGCTGCAAGACACCCGAGCCTGTGGAAGATACTGGCTGACTCACTATGGTCAGATGATCAACCTCCACCAAGAACAAACAGGAGATCACCAAAGAGCCCATCTCCATCTAGAAGCCAACATGCCAGCAACAATTACCAGGACAAGAGGGTCTCAGATGGAAAAGAAGACAAGATAGAAAATCTCCACTCAAACACAGCACACTGATATGAGGTGAGATAGGTAAAGACCCAAAACACAAAACAGGTTATGACAACTATGAACCCACAGATAGTGATAAAACCCTGAAATCCAATGGACTCAATTCTTACATTAAAAGAAAAAGGCTAGAGGACTGGCTCAGAAAACATCATCCATCAATCTGTTGCCTGCAAGAGACACATCTTAAGCGCACAGACAAGAATATGCTAAGAATAAAGGGTTGGCAGAATGTTTACTAATCGAATTCTAACTCCAAAAAGGCAGGGGTGACTAGCTTAATCTCCGACAACATTGACTTCAAGGTCCAAATCATAACAAGAGACAAAGAGGGACACTGCATAACGTTCAAAGGTTCAGTAAATGAAGAAGCACTTAGGATATTGAATATCTACGCTCCCAATAATGGTGCAGCGAATTTCGTCATAAAAACTATTAAAAAGATGAAAAAAGAAATCATGGACTCAACAATCATAGTAGGTGACTTTAACACTCTGCTATCAGAGAAAGACAGATTACTGGGAAAGAAGCTCAGCAAAGACGCCATAGAGCTAAACAATGTAATTAGGCAACGGGGCCTGATAGACATTTATAGAGCTTTCCACCCAAACGCAAAGGATTTCATATTCTTCTCTGGTCCACATGGATCTTTTTCTAGAATAGACCACATGCTGGGAGACAAGTCCAGCCTGAGTAAATTCAAACACATAGATATTATCCAGACATCTTTCTCAGATCGCCATGCCATAAAGCTGAAGATTAATAAGAGGATGTCCAGGAAATCAAGGGCAACCAGTTGGAGGATGAACAACAATCCCCTTCGACATGAATGGGTACAGGCTCAGATTAGAGAGGATATCAGGAAGTTTCTAGAAACTAATGAGAATGAGAATACAACGTATCGAAACTTATGGGACACTGAGAAGGCATTTATCAGAGGTAGCTTGATATCATTAAATGCCTATATGAAAAAAGAAGAGAGGGGTATGACAGATAATGTTATCACAAAACCTCCAACAACTAGAACACAGGCAGCAGAACCACCCTTCAAATATCAAGAGAAAAGAAATAATAAAAATCAGGGCAGAATTAAACCAGTGGGAAGACACGAGAACAATACAAAAGATAAATGCAGCTAAAAGCTGGTTCTATGAAAGAATTAACAAAATTGACAATCCTCTGGAAAAGCTTACCAAGGATAGAAAGGAGCAAACACCAATAGCCAGGATGAGGGATGAAACAGGGGCAATAACAACAGACCCCAATGAGATTAACAGGATATTCACAAAATACTATGAAGGTCTGTATTCTAATGAATTCAGAAACATGGAAGACATGGATAAATATTTGGAAAAGCAGTCTCTCCCTAGATTATCTCAGACAGAGATCAAGAACTTCAACAAACCCATAGCGAAAGAATAACAAGAGAGTGTCATTAAAAATCTACCAATAAAAAAAGCCCCAGGGCCAGATGTCTTCACAGCAGAATTCTACCAAGCATTCAGGGACAAGTTGACACCAATCCTCCACAAAGTATTCCATAACATAGAAGAGGATGGCAAACTCCCAAACTCATTTTACGAAGCCAGCATTACTTTGATACCCAAACAGGGCAAAGACCCCACAGGAATAGAGAATTACAAACCAACATCTCTAATGAACATAGATGCAAAAATCCTTAACAAAATATTGGCCAATAGAATACAAAAGTATATGAAACATATCATCCACCACGACCAGGTAGGATTCATCCCAGGGTTGCAGGGATGGTTTAACATCTGAAAATCCATCAATATTATACACCACATCGAGAAGAAAAAGGATAAAAACTATATGATAATATCCATAGAT